ATGCTCTGCCGGGGAAGGAGGGACAATCTCCTCCTGTACCAGTCAGATCTGATTTGACGGTACACGCACAAACACAAATAATAAAATTAAAAAAAAAAATAAAAATAAAAAAAACAAAACAAAACATGTTCACAGTGTCCACTTTCGCTCAAATGAGAGATGCCTCCTCTTCCAAGATATGGCCTGTGGTAGGGCGCACAGCTCACACTCAGTTCCTTCACTGGGTCCCTATAAGCACTATCTACACTGTCTATTTGTGTGTCAGTCTATTGAGAAAGTACTATCGAATTCTCTCTTCATTTAAAAGACTAGAAACCTGGCTTTAGGGGAGATTCCATTATTTCTAAGCAAGGATAGCGAGAAAGCTATTGGCATCAAAGTAGTGCTTCTATCTTTTAAGTTTTAGTGAAACACTGACTTTTATTGAGAAAGGTATTTAAAATGCTGCTTATACAGGGTCACTGCAATTTTCGGTGGACTTACAGCCCAGCCAAGTCAATTAGGTGAGCTTCTCCTTAAGAAGGACAGTTTCAGTACAAAGAGTAACCAAACAGGTGACTCACTTCAGTTGTTCACTATTCTTCTGAACTAGTCATGAACATTCCAGATAAGAGGTAGATCAAGAGTTAGATTCCGGAAGAGATGGCGGTGATGAACTAGGCCTTCCAGAGGTAGTGGTACCACCACAAATGGCATCATGAACCCAGATTTCTTTAGGCATAGGATAATGTTTTCAACCACAGGTCCAAGAGTGAAAGCTGGGTAATACCACCTGTCTTCAAAGACTGACAGGCCTGCATCAGGCTGGTCCTGAGCCTCCTGATACAGCCGCACAGTGGATGCCTCCCTCTGGATTGTAGCGCACAGGGCCACAGCGCAGCTGGGGCTCCTCTTCCTCATACCAGCGCTGCTCGCTGAAGTCAGGGAAAAAGGCTGCAATCTCTCTACTGGCTGAAATCACGGAGTCTGTAGGAAAGAAAAGGATTTCTCACAGCAGAGTAGAGACAAAAGGAATTAGGTTTAGAATCCATTGCCACAATGAGCCTCTAGTTGTCTTGCCTGTCCCCTCAGTCTTGAACATGTAAAGAAAGTCCATAGGCCACATCTGTCTATGGGCATACAGTCCAGGCTCACACATGGGAACTTGGCTCTTGGCCTCAGCACAGTCTGTACCCCAAATTTCCCTCCCTTATTTGTGGCTGTGGACAGAGCAGACTTACCTGAGCCATGAGTAGTATTGCGGGTGTCAGTGAGGCCTAAACTCCCCCGTATTGAATCTGGGGCCATGTGGCGTGCTTGAAACACTCTGGTGGGTCCCATCAGTGTCCTCCAGAGCTGGATGGCATCCTTGTGGGCAAGGATGTAGGCTCGGATTGGCCCACTGTGAGCAAGAGAAGTGCAAGTTAGGAATCTGGTTTAGGAGGGCACATTGTGAACAAGGCATGAATAAAGGGACACTGCACATTCCGAGAGTTCCTTTGTCTTTCTAGCTGCTTCAAGTAGAAAGTCATGGAAAGCCAAAGCTGATGTACAAAAAAAGCTACAAAGAACCATTAAGCAGTGTTCATTCAACAATACTCTTCTACAGCCATTGGACCAGTAACCACCACAGTGCAGGTGGCTACCAGGTCAGTGCTAGCGCCGTCAGAGGTCCAAGTCCCTGTTTTTTTAAAGACTTGACATTGGTGATAACTTTAGAGAGCAGCATTGGGATCAACCAACTCAACTACTGGGCGACAGGGGAAATATGCTATAGTCAATAAAGATTCTGGAACCAAAATTAGAAGTACCTGGCCATGGACTCCACCAGTCGTTGATAGAAAAAACGCCCTGCAAAGAGTATGACATTAAGACAATGGTGCCCAGGAGAACTTTCTATTTCTACCTCTTTATCTGGAACAAAAAAAAACTTTATAGAGAAAAGAAAAAGACCTTGGAGTCTGACATACTTTAGTCTGAATCTAGGTTTAGCCACTTATAACCTGTGATGTTTCAGGTATGTCATTAATCTTCCTAACTCAGATTTTAAATTTGTGGAACGGGGATATGACAATACCTACACTTCATAACTTCACAGTACTGTTAGAGAATGACATGGAATAGTGCTCATTAGTACACTGTCTGAATTTTTTTTTTAAAGGGAGCTCTGGTGACCTAGTGGCAAGAAGCTGCACTGCAATTCCAGAGGTACAAGGTTTGAATCCACCTGACGCTCTGCTGGAGAAGGGGGGGCAATCTCCTCCTGTACCAGTCAGATCTGATTTGACGATACACACGCACAAAATAATAAAATAAAATAAAGTAAAAAATTTAAAAAAAGAGTAAACATTAAATGCTAACTAATTATATTGCCAGGACAAAAAGTTTCTGGTTGAAATTACTAGATAGAGCTCTCCCAGAAAAGAATTAAAAATGACTAATGATCATGAAAAAAAAAATAAACCAACAGTTTGGAAGATTGGCTAAAATCTTACATGGTTCATAGGTCAGAGGGCCTAATATCTCTTGACTGCCATTTGGGATAGAGAAGATTTTATAGGAAGTCTCCATTTGGAAGACTCCTGGGCCTACCTTTGTGCTCTTGGTAAAACCTCTGGCAATCTTCTTTTCTCCACAGTAGTTCCCTCATTCGTACTATAAGGAACTTGTTGTTCAGAATCCGCTGATGAACAGCCTGGATAAAAACCCCCCAAAGATAAAAATCAGGCAAAGGGGCCATTTGAATGAACCAGAAACCCAGGCTGACCAAAAGAATCATGAAGGCTCCTTGGGACCCAAGACTTGAGGGTCTGTCTCCTCAGTAGAGCAGAAGGAAGGGTGAAGTAAAGACCTCCAGTCTCACAGCTAGATCATGAGCAAGGACTATCTCTGTCCCTTCATCCCTGCACTTCCCTGAGACTCTCCAGAAAGCCAAAGTCACAACATTACAAGTCTTTAATGGTCCTGCCTCAAATTTCTCCAAACCTTCCATCTCTAAATCAACTGATCTGTTAGGATAAACACACCTTAATTGACAGGTCACACTCTCACCAGAAGCTTCTGGGTACTTTGCATTCATGGAATTGAGTGTAATCATTAGTTTATTGCTCAAGGCTGCACTTTCATCTTACCTTCACCTTCTTCTAAATCTCTATTGTGACCAAACTACCCTCCCTTCCCATGTACATAATATTTTTCTACACATTCTTGCCCCATATCCTTTTTTATGAAACATCCTCCATCTGTGCACTGAACAGAGTTCTCCTTTCCTCTGCTGCCCAGCTGAATCCCACTCTCCCATTCTGCTCTGCCTCTGTACCACAGTGGACTTCCTCATCAGTGCTGCTCATGTAGTGCTTGTCACAATCTCATGGGCAGAATCCTGAAATGATGTCCACTTCTCTCATTCCCCAAGATTTCTCATCGATCTGTGAATACAATGTAATACCATATCCTCTGTGACATTATATGGCAAAAGGGATTGTGTAAGATTATGAAACAGTTGTTTCTGCCTTAATAAAAAAAGATGATTATTCTGGTGGGCCTAAATCAATTACATGAGTCAAATAGGAGTTTTTCTCCAGCTGACAGCTGAAGAAGTCAGAGATATATGAAGCTAAGAAGGATCTGATGGCTATTCTGCTTCTTGGAAATAGAGGGGCCATGTAATAAGGAATGTGGGTAGCTTCTAGAAACCAATTAGTCCCTATCTAACTTCAGTCCTAGAACCACAAAGAATTTCTTTATCCCAGTAACCTAAAAGTGTATTCTTCCCTAGAAAATCCCAGATTTCAACCTTTTAAAAAATCTAAGGAGAGAACTCAGTAGAACCTACTGGGCTTCTAATCTATAGAACGATGAGATAATTAATGGGTGTTGTTTTTTGCTAAATTTGTGCTAATATGTTCTATAACAATAGAGAATGCGTATGTCTATTTTGTCTAGAGAACTGGTTCTTTGTATCATTGGATTGGTTCATTTTTATCATAGTGTATACGTGTCCTAATTCTCCCATTGCTTTTAAGTCTCCTTAGGGCCAGGGTCCACGGCTCCAAGTTTTCCCTCTACAGGAGCCGGCATAGGATTTGTCACTTGGAACTTTAGAAGTGTCTAGGGCATATAGTAGAGGCTAAGGATTCATTCTTACCTCTAGAATCAGCGGGTGAGCAACTGCATCTGGCTTGATCAGGGCCAGTGTGAGCTGGAGAGCCTGAGGGCTTCGCAAGACAGAGGCCATAACATGCCTGCCATCAGAGAGATGGATTAGGGTCTATGGGAGCTGCACTCCCATCCTCCCTACTCTAGAGCGGCCATCTTGCAGCCAACCAAGTCCTAACACATTTAAAGCAGCTGATAGTTACACAACAAAGCCATATACATTATTTAACTGTGACAGGCCTGTGAGACTTAAGGGAAGGAGTGTGGAGGGGCCATTCAGTTTGTCCTGTGGCATTCATAAATCTGATCTGGTGTGACTGCAGTCCGTGCACACTCATTTAAACATCCTTGTTTCCACCAACATACACTTTCCTTCTTTTCTATTGTATAGAAAATTTACAATTTTAGAGTTCCTAACCCACTGATCACAAAGTTACAATGACTGATTCCCACGGAGAAAGGCAGACAATCTCCTCCCATGTGACTGACAGCCTCTGAAAACCTGTTTGAGGTTCAACCAAGACTCAATGGCAATGGGTTGTTTTGGTTAATCATAGTATTTTCCTCACTAACCCTTTAAAGTGTACTCCATACTCAAGGTAAAAGCCAAAATTCTTACCATGGCCTACAGGAGCCTTTGTGGGACCAAGTATGCACCCCTGAATACCTCTTCAGTTACCCCACACTACTTTTAGTATGAGTCTCATAGGTGTTTCAGTTCCAAAAGACTTTGCGGCCTGGGTGAAATGTGTGTGTTGGCCATACAAAATGTGCTTCTGCCCTTCGCACACTTCCCATTATACATTCTTATTGCTCCTTGCACATATTTTCCAGTTTGGAACTTTATGTGACAACTATTTGATTTCTAGACATCACAACCACTAGACTGTCAACTCCACAAAAGAATTCTCTTTTGCTCGCTACCCTAGCCTTAGGATCTATGCAAAGCGCCTGCCACACAGTTGCCTCTCAGTATGTATTTGGTGAATGAATCAGTGAACGACCCCGATCGATTTGTTCCAAAGGCAGCCAGCGGAGAGGTCTCCAGAGGAGCGTGGCCTTCAATGGAGCCCTCCCCGCCTGCAAAGTGACGACAAAGTTCTGTTCCCAGTGTTAGCGAAGGTGCGGCTGTCTCGGCTTCTGGTTTACAGCAAACTGACAGATCGAGCAACTTGCTCAACTGAAAGCACCGCTCCATTAGAGAATGGCACACTTTCGAGGTTGCCTGGGCACCTGTCCCCTACGTCTGAGAAGTGACCCCCTCCGAAGCTAGAGGTCCGCGATACGCCCACTCGCCTCCCCAACTTGCAGTTAGTTCCCTTCAATTTTGCCTCTGCCCCCTCCAACCCCAACACGGAAGTCCACGTTTCTCCGGACAGACCGACAGGCTCACGGCCTCAGCCGGCCCAACATTCTTGTACCAGATCGCGCGATTCCCGCTTCTCGAGCCCAAGCCCAAGTTTGGGCTTTCGGGTTTCCGGGACCAAGTTGCGGGAAGCCCAGATTCTCTCGCTCACCAGGTACCGCGATAGTGAGCCCGCGAGGCCCTGGCAGGGTTCTTCAGGCGTGCCGCGGGCAGCCCCTCTCGGAGTCCTTCAGGCGTGCCGCGGGGCAGCCCCGCTTGGGGTCCTCGCATCACTGGGGAGCTGCGGCGAGCATGCGCGCTGAATTTAAAGGGCCAGTGCTCTTAACCCTCTGGTTCTGGAGCTCACTCTGCCTTTAAAAAAAAATAAATTATATTTTTTATTTTAATAATTTTAATGAACATTTACAGAGATTTTGGATTTCCATTCACTCATTGTTGCACTTTTCTCCCTGCCCCGCCCCCCCCCCCCCCCCTGTCCCCCCTTCGTTCCTCTCTTTGAAAAGTACAAGAAAAATTCTTTCTTTGGTATACAATCCGCCCGCAACCCTCCCACCGCCCCAAGTACACTCCACTATGCAACCTTAATTGTGGACTCTTGTGATAACTATAATATCTTATCATATATCGCTTTTAAATTATTCTCTCCCTCATCTGTTTCAATGCAGTATACACAATTGATCCAGTTTTTCTCAGTCTTAGCCCAACCCTGATCTCAGTCCCATTATGTTTGGGCTTTAATGACATATACTTTCCCCACCCCTTGTAAGCAGGTGTTCTCGGCGGATACTGGCCTCCGCTGTCGAGTTGCTCAGGCCAGAATAATTGTCGCATGAGGATGGAATTGTGAGGATCACCCTTGGCAGTTTTTCTCAGGTTGTGGTTGTTGTTATGTGCCGTCGAGTCGCCTTCGACTTAGAGCGACCCTGTGCACAGTAGCCCTAAGCCCTTCTCTATCCCTTGCCAATCTTACTGTCTCCGACACACCTACTCCCATTACCCCAATGACTGAATCAGTCCATCTCATCGAGGGTCTTCCTCTCCTGCACTGTCCCTCAACCCTCCCAAGCATGACGTCCTTCTGCAAGGATTGGTCCTGCCCTGCAATATGTCCAGAGTATATCAGACGGAGCTTCAGAATCCTTTCCTACAAGGAGCAGCCTGGTTTCACCCTCTCCAACGCAAACTTGTTTGTTCTCCTAGCAGTCTGTGGTGTATTCAGTACTCTTCTCCAGCACCACAACTCAAAGGCATCAACTCTCCTTCTATCATCCCTAGTCGTTGTCCAGTGCTCTGATGCATAGCAAGTAATGCAAAGACCATGACCTGTATCAGGTGTACCTTAGTCTCCAGACTGACATCGTTGCTCTTCTCCCAGGTACTCAGTAAAAATCAACACTTTTGTTGTTTCTCAAGATATTATCATATCAGTCTTCAGCTTCTAGATGTTTCATGCAAGAAGTACCATTTATTTCCGACCTGTGTGGTATTTCTCTCCCTCTACATCGGTCCAGACACCTTTTAAGTTTCTAACTCTCTTACCTGCTTACATTGTTTTTGTTAGGTACCATTGAGGTGACTGCGACTCATAGCAACTGTATGAACAGCCAATTAGAACCTTGCCTAATCCTGTGCCATCCACATTATCTCTAATATACTTTAATCCATTGTTACAGCCACTTTGCCAGCCCATCTTGTTCAGAGTCTTGCTCTTTCACTGACCCTCTACCTTTCACTTTTCCCAAGTACTAACCCCTCCTAACACTGCCCGAAGTATGTGAGACAGTTTCAGAATCCTTGTTTTCAAGGAGCAATTCCTTCTCACCTTTTCCAGGATAGGTCTGTTTGTACTCTTTGCAGTTCATATACAGTCCAATACTCTTCTCTACCAGCACAACTCAAAGACATTGATTCTTCTGTTATCCTTCCTTAGTCATTGTCCAACTCTCACATGCATAACAAGGAATTGAGAAGACCATAGCCCGGATCGGGTACACTGTAGTCTCTAGACTAACATCATAGCTCTTTAGCATGCTGGAGAGATCCCTGACAGCAGACTTTCCCAAACAAGTTTTCTTTTGATTTCTTGACTGCCGATGCAAAGAGTGTTGAGTGTGGATCTAAACAAAATCAAATTGTTAACAACTTCAGTCTTTTCTCCGTCTATATTATATTGCCAGTTGGCTCAGTGGTAAGGGTCTTTGTTTTCATGATGTTGAGATGCAATCTATATTGAAGGCTGTGATCCTTTACCTTCTGCAGCAAATGCTTCAAATCCCCCTCAGTGTTAGGGAACAAGATTGTGTCATCTGTCTAAAGCAGGTTGTGACATTATAGACTACAGCCTTTCATATAGATACTACCTCAATATAAACCCGGGTGGGGGGGAGAACCTCACAGTAGATCAGTAAAAAACATCATGAAAAATGAGGAAAAGATTAAAGTTTCAAGGATATAATTTTACTTGACCCACAGTCAGTACTTCTTGGAACAGTAACCAGGAAATTAAAAGGCATAATGCATTGGTAAACTCTCCTATCAAGAACTTCTTTAAAGTACTAAAGAGCAAGGATGTTGATTTAAAACTAAGGTGCAGCTGACCCAACCCATGGTATTTTCAATTGCTTCATATGCTTTTGAAAGTTGGACAATGAACAAGACAGAAAAGTAATTGATACCTTTGAACTGTGGTGTGTTCAATATTGAATATACCACGGGTTGCCTAATAACAAACAAACGTATCTTGGAGGAAGTGCAGAGTGCTCCTTAGAGGCAAAGATGGTGAGATTTGTTCTTACACACTTTGGATGTGCTGTCAGGAAGCAGGCCAGGCCCTGGAAAAGGACTTCATACTTGGAAAGGAGGGAGGTCAGAGAAGAGAAAGTTCCTTAAGGAAGTGGATTCACATCATAACTGCAACAATGAGTTTAAGTACAGAAGAGGTGGTGAGGATAGTGCAAGACAGGACAAATTTTTGATCTGTTATGCATAAGGTTGATATGAGTTAGAGTGGACTCAATGGTACCTACCTAACCTAGTCGTTCTCATGAGGTATATGATCTTCAAACATTTTTTCCTATTCTGTGATTTCTCTTTCCACTATTTTAATAGTGCCCTTTTTTTCCAGTCTTCTATTTAAAATTTTATATACTGTTACATGCAGATTACATGATTTCAAAAATGTATAACAATATTCATATAATTTTGTATTTTCAAAATAATTTTAATCATGACTACTTCTGTATTACTAACTTTTTTTCTAATTTATTTGTTTATTTTTCATTTCAGTGAATGACTACAGAGATTTTGGAATTCCATTCATTCATTGTTGCACCCTTCTCCCCGCTCACCCTCTCCCTCCCCCCCATCCCCCCTGTTTGCTCCTCTCCTT